ATCACATATATTTTTTAAATAAAAATCGAAAGACTCACCCCGACAAGCGTGTTCGATTACAAATGAAATTTTACTCCCATAAAATGTGTTTAGTTAAGTTTTCAAAACAAATTTTACTCCCATAAAATTTGTTTAGTTACAAGATACAAAACTGAAATGCCTAATGCCTTCTCTCATATATTTTTATCAGGAAGGCCTTGATGCTTAATTTTTGTCTTAATCTTCAGAAAAAATTAGTTTTGTGCAATTGTAATATTTATTTTTGACAACCCTGTTTGTTTTATTGTTATCAGATAATTTTAACCTTAAACTATAGCAACAGTCCAGCCCTAGTAAGTTTTAAAAAATATCTTGAAAGTCAACTGTGCTTGTGTTTTAAATGCTCATGAAGTGTCGTGGAAACCAACACAAAAAAGGGTTACATGATATAATGTCTGGCAGAGCACAAAACAACAATCTCCAGCATAGTATTTAAAAATAAATCACCTAAACTATTTTAGAACTTCTTTTTTGTTGATATTTTTAGGTTTTATCTAGTTTGGCTTCACTACAGAAATTTCAATAAGTCCTCGTGTGCTCACGAATTAAAGGAATATTTTGGTTGATGTCTGTTCAGAACCTAGCAAACAACTACGTTTTTTTTTTTTTTTGCTTTTTTGCTTTTTCGCAGTAATCGGCGATGGTCGGTGTCAGAACATGCTAACGCTCAATCCTTCTAAAACCGTTATTGTGACGTTGTGTAGAAAGGTAGAAAAAATAAACTTTTGTTACCAAATTGGCAATCATCCCCTGCGAAGAGTCGAGTGCACGCGTGATCTTGGTGTATACATAGATTCTTCGTTATACTTTACTGTACATGTTAACAACCTTATAAATGACTCTTTGCGTAAGCTGGGAGTAATTTCTATAATCACGTGTGAGTTCTCCACATCAACCTGCATTCTACGGTTATATTTCTGGTTAATACGGACCAAGTTGGATCTTTCCTTGTAGTCCGGAATTGTATTAGTTCTACGAGCCAAGAGATGATTGAAAATGTTAAAACGCGTTTCTTTTTTAATTATTTACGATCTTTACATTGGTCGTGCTGTTTATTATTCTTATGCGAGACTGTTGGAGCGATGCAAATGCCCTACTTTGAGTTCCAGACGGCGTGTGCGTGATCTTGTTTTCCTGTAGAAATGCATTTATGGATTAATTGATTTCCCCGATCTGCTATTAATGTTCACGTTCTGAGTCGAGTTTTGCGGGTTCCTCCGACTTTCCATGTTAATCACATCATCCAAACCAGTCCCATGATCCGTATTCAACACTTGTAAAATACCCTCAGGGGAGCAGATATTGATGTTTTAACCCAAATTTCGTAGCTGTTAAGACGTTTGTAAATAACCTGTGAACATTTTGTTGTGCATTATTACCAAGGCGTCAAGCTGTCCATTAAACACCAAATAAACAAATGAATGAATGAAAGATTGAATTGTCCGGTACGTTTGGCGTAGTGGAATCTAGGCCAATCAACTAAAAAATGCAGTTAACCTTTGATTAATGGCTATGTGGGTTATATTGAAATTGCAGTTTTTAATGCCATCACCACTAACGGAAAATCCAATTTAAACATTTTATTATTAAGATATTAAGATACTGTCCTTCGGATTGTCACCTGGTTCCAAAACGGGAGGCCGAAGAAGCGCCGCAAGCCCTTCCAGCTGTCGAGATAATAGGCAGCTTTAGTATAACATTGCTGACTCTTACGTACGCAACGCTCAATAGTATAGCGCACTCTAAAAACTAACTGCTCGGACCGATTTTGGTTGTGCGCTGCGTTGCCGAGGGAACAACTCGCATGATCGTTTTTGATTCAATTTGTCAGAGTTGTCGAATTTTGCGTGCTTATAATGCCACCATGTTCCTCAAAAAAAAAAAAAAAAAAGATTGAAAATGAAAATGTTTCCAATCATTTTATTTAAAATTAAACCTAGCCACAGCTGCCTGGTTAAGCGCGTTTTTCTGCGGGTCACGGAGGCTACGAATACGAATTTTCTATCACGGATCCTCCGTCAATCGTCCCGTGCAAACGGCACATTTTATCAATACTATCGCGGGAACAAATTCATGATCTACTTATGTCTAGAGCATAGCGACAACTTCGGCGATTTCTTGAAGAGTCAGTCGTTCGTCTGTCGACAATCAACTGCGCGAAGAGGCTTAGCGTTGAGCAGATCTCCGCGTTCACGCACATTGCGAAAACGGTGAACATTTTCACCATGCACTCCTTCAGCTGCACGGCGATCTGACTCGACCGCGCTACGTACCGGAACGAATTGCTGAGCTGAACAGCACGCAAATTTCACCCAACACTGAACTTCGCAAACACCACGTCGCCCTTGCTGCTCCAACCGACGTAACCGACATGTTGAAACTGGTGTTCTCTGTGAGCCCGAGATCTCTCGAGAACTTCCCGCAAAGCCCGCTATCTCGCGACGCAAAATCCCTTGCGTTGCGTGTGTACGCAATACGCTAGACATTCTATTGCGTTCTGCGCATGCTTACTCCCGACCCGCAATTTCTTTGCTACGCAAAGCTTTAGCGCACGGTCTACCAAAACTGTATAATGACGAGGTGTCAAAAAAAAAAGAAAAAAGTGCAGCGCTTTTGTACGCATAGTTGTGGGCAGGGCTCGTGGAGCTACCTCCTTCACTTTTGGAATCCGGTAAAAAGGATGCGACAACTAATCACTAAATAATAGAAGCCGGTGGCCCTTCCACATTTTGTTTAAGTTGGCTTAGCGTCTAACAATTACCGCGATTGAAACTGCAACTGCAACAGGACCAATAAAACCATTATTGTAAAGCTATTTGACTCAATTTAGCAAATTAGACAAATATTTTAACCGTTTGGCCGGCACCCAACATCCGCCCAGTCAAATAGCCCACAGTGGAGGCAAAATTTGCGCTACTTCTACCCCCTATTAATATCTAAATATTGTTGGAATTAAAACCAAATATCATGTATATTTGTCTATTACATGTACCTGGAAAGCATGTTGAGATTTATTGTATCTTTAATTATTTAAAAACGTAGTTCAAACAAAACTCCTTTCCTTATAAACAAATGTATTGAACTTGATCGACGAGATATCTCCGAAGATTGAGTGGCAACTAAGTAATAACACAATCGATATTATGTAAGTGAGAGAGTACCTCGTGTGAGCGCACAATAAATGCCTTTTTACTATGGCATCGTAATTGCAGACTTCCAACACACAATTTACTTACAATGGCGCAGGTTGTTGATCCAGACAGTTTCAATCGTAAGATGTGTTTTGATAACCTTTCGGGTTAATGCACCCTTTCGAAACGCGGCAAATCGGCACGCACAACATTCCCGTCTCGAACATTCTGGCAATCTTCACCACGTCCAAAGGTGTTTCCATTCCAAGGATGTTAGGCCACCTGACTACTAAAGTGTTCAAGGAATGAAGCGTCGAATTGCTCCGGCTCCGTGTGAAGAATATTAGACGAGCTACTGCTGTTTTCCGAGGAGAACGGCCGCTAAGGGCATTGTGCCGACACATGTTCCGCCGAGTGTGCTGGGAGTAGGTCAGAACCGGTTTCATATGGCGCTCCTTTGGTTCTCTGTTATAACTGCGTAACGAGCCGAGGAGAGTGTATGTATACGACGCCAATATATCTGCATATTGCTGGAATGGACTCCCCGAGCCGATTTCGCACTAGGAAAAACCAGGTTTCTTTGTTTCCACCTCCCACATATTTGTCAGTGAAGGGCAGTTCAGTATTCAATTCATTCTGGAGATTGAATGCATTGCAGTTTTTTTTTCTTGTGCATGCCCCAAGAAGAGAAGCAGAGAGTGAGAGCTTGGTTGATCATCTAAGCCAGGAATGGGGACATCAGATAATGTACACCAACGTTAAATATAAGCATCTCTGGACTCAATACTTAAGTTAACAAATAAATTATTATTTGTCATATAGGGACTAAGGAAACTGTTTATTTCGTTCTATATCACATTATTTAATAAGGAAACAAGGAAGATCTTCACAAAAGAAGACGTCTAACAAGCAATTCCACGTTAACCTGCCCCAATTCAACACAGGGTCATAAAAGTACAAACAAAACCACAATATATACACACTGTTACACCATTTTCACAAAAAGCGGCCAACCTCTATCCTTTTGACGATAAAGATATAAACTAGCTAAACACAGCAAGACACTAAAACCCCTCTCAAACCGGCATGTTAGGAGTCTTTGGAACGAGCTCCTTTAAAGAATAGGCGAATCAGCTCGCGATCTCACGCCTGTCGGCGTGCGCTGGTTCGCCGACCTTTTAAACGAGTTCGTTCTGAGATCCTTTAGCGTGCCCATCCCGCATACATCACTTTTGTTTCCGACAGCACATGACATAGGCGGGAATTTCTTCATAAAAAAGTTTCAGTGTGTCATGTTTTTTTTTTGTTTTGTTTCTGACAAGCAAAATATGATTTCAGCCACTTCTATCTTAGAAACGTGTTTACGTGTTTTCTAAGTGACAAATAGACTTCTAAAAAAACTTTCTGATTAAACAAATATACAATAATTTGAACAAAAATCATATTCGCTGGACATGAATGTTTCGTATTAATAATATGAGTGTGGTAATTTCACGCCGATTTCAGCAGCCGCCATTTATGTTACAATAGTTCAATAAATGTCTATATTTGATTCTTTTATATAGTTTACCGCCATGCACGTTCACTACAGTAAATGCCATTTTTGTCTAACCACAGCCAACTCAGCGACAAGATGAATGTCAGCCCGGTGAATGACAAGGCGTGACTTTGAGCACTAAGCACATTTGTCAGGGCGCTTAGCCTCGTACTATAAATTAGTTAATCGGCATATGCTAGCTATCTTTTCTGTATCGTGAACTCTCGCGACACAGAAAGCTCTGAAAATATTATGCGAAGCCTGAGTGAGCGAGGTTGATTTTGAACTTTTTATCACCGCATCTTCTTGACATGCACAACGAGACCGGGGAAGCCCTTGAGCTTCGCTTTGCTTCTGGTGTTGAGCGTGTACTTGCGTTGATTATGCACGATTGTGACGTCATTCATTGCACGACCCCAGCCACTTCCGTAGTCGGGAGTCCGAGAGTGCGCGCCACTAAGAAACACAATTTGTCTGAACTCAGGGCGAGTATGTTGCGTTGATTTGAAGAAGAGCTTTTGACCCGGCGACGCTCCTGGCTGAAGCCGAAAGACTTCTTCTGTTGGATGGGAGTGTTTTATATGACCGAACTCTTGTTTCTGGGAGGGCGATGTTGGGATGAAAAGCTTCGGACCCGGATATTTCTTTACTACCTTGACTTTTCTTAGTCTTCTTCCTTCGAGATGACCTCGGTTCCTCTGCTGTTCTCGTAAACTACCCGGTCGATTGAAGATCACTGTCTTTTTGCACGCGGGCCTGGTCATAGGCCGCTGCGGAAAGACGATGTTACTTCCAGGGTCCAGTTGTGTGGCTGTCTCGACCTGATGGACTCCATGACTTGAACTCAGGATTACCTTGCGAACTCGGCTCCAACGCTGTCCCATTGATCGGCAATCGCAAGTTCTCAGGACCAGCACCAAGTTCCAAATGAACAGAGCTATCTGAAATATATTCACGATGGCATAGTCTATATGACGTTTCGCAAAAGAAAATAGATACAGGCTTAAAATAAGCGAAAGTGTGCGGGCGGGTTGATTAGGAGACATCATTATCTAAAGCCTCAGGGTTTTGATTATAATATGCTGGCATGGTTGTTTGAGACTGAAACAATTTAAGGTTTCAGATGAACAGTATTTTCTATGCAATCAACTTATCTGTCGCGTCAGATGTAAGGCATAGGTTACATAATTATAATAAGAATTCAAATTCTAATTATAGCTATCTAAACTTTTAGATAATCATTTTAGCAGGCAAGTCGCTATAAAATATTTTATTCGTTCTTCATAATACACTCTAAAAAAAGTCTGTGCGTCTACTTCCACGCACAACACTCGGAGAACCAATCAGCGCAACTTAGGGAGGCAGCTCAGCGAATGACGATACCGAAACATCTGTTTAGACCAAAAAACGCAGACTCAGTTGTGACATTAAGCAATGCAAAACGTCACGCTTGCATTGCTTAATATCACAACTCAGACTGCGTTTTTTTGTCTAAACATATGTTTCGGCATCGTCATTCGCTGAGCTGCCTCCGTAAGTTGCGGTGATTGGCTCTCCGAGTGTTGCGCGGGAAAGCAGACGCACGGGCTTCTTTCAGAGTGTATGCCAAATTGGCTTTTTCAATTCAAGGAAACCTAATTTCGCTTCCCGTTAGTTAATAAAAAAATTAAGGCTCTCATGGCATAAGTTGTTGAAAACAGAAGCAAAGCGGAAGCGCCACCCCTAACGAGACAACACTGCGACCTGCAAATGACGAATTTCTGCTGCGATCACGCAACCCAAACACACACCCTTAGAAATAAATGCCTGCGCGTCTACTCGCAAAACACTCAAAGAGCCAATCTCTGCGATCTACGAAATCAGCTCAGCGTATGATATAGGGCGGTACATTCATTCAGACCTAAAAATAAAGTTTACGCTGTGGCATTACGCAATGCAAAGCGTCATGCTTGCATTGCGTAATGCCACAGCGCAGACTTAATTTTGAGGTCTAAACAAATGTTCCACATCATCATTCGCTGAGCTGATTTCGTAGATTGCAGAGATTAGCTCTTTGGGTGTTTTGTGGGTAAGTAGACGCGCAGACATTTCTTAGAGTGAACTAAATCAGTAATAAAATAACTTGCGTCTACTCACAAGTTGATCTCATTTTTGATACAGCGGACCCTCGATAATTGTTAATTTTGCACCGGACAGAATAATGTCCATTTAATTTTTGTGAAATCAAGCAACTGTCAATTGCTATTTTAACAACGCATCTATATCTCGGATTATAATCAGTGAAATAACATATATAGTTTAAAAAGTTAATAATTTTATACAATTAGTTTGCTAATAAATCACGTTAAACTGTGCCCTGATATTTGCCGTGAGAATAAAAATTTGTTTTGTTCTTTAGTCTCTGCGTTGCTAAGAAAAGTTACTCTTGTCATCGAATGCAACGTCCTTATCTTTAATAAAACTAATCAGCACATTCAATTTAAGTCCGATACGAATACTCTCTACTCAATAATAGCATTTTATGTTAGATTAATTTTTATAATAAAATATTGGCTAATGATTTCATTTAAAATGTTTTGATCGTGTGCGTTCCAGACAAATTAACTTGCAAATATGCTTGCGCGTATCGAAAGCTGGCATGATGGAGATAATGGCAAAACTCCCGCTTATATTTTGATGCACATCGTTGACCACAGTTTTCTACATTGTTTCCCGACACAAACCATCCGACATTGTTTATCAACAAATATCAAGCCATAAAATTACATTGCAGACATCACCGATGGACTTTGTTATAAAAAGACAACACCATAACGACCTGAAACACCAGTTTATTGACCTTATAAAAAGCATTGATTATATAAGACATCTGTGAGGATTGAACAGCTTGATGTAATCGAAGAGAATTCGGAAAGACCGGATTTCATATACACATAATTTACGAAATAACATACAGAAAACGAAATCAGGTTACATTTTGCTAACCGTACTTTCTGATTTAGAAAGTAGGTGGCACCGCTAGCGTCGTTCACCTTATTCTCGCTGAGCACTGCATGAGATCAAATCACTCAACTGGAAGCATAGGAAGCAATTGTGAAAGACGAGTTCTGTCATGCTTCGCTACCAACCGTCGTTTTTAGACGACTGAAAACTACCATTTGACTGATATCATCAATAGAAAGGTCTACTTGTAACGCAGACACGTAAGCAAATATACAGTTTTATATCATTCAAAACTCCGTTTCCTTGAGCGCACCAGGTGAGCAAAGCTGCAAATTAGCTTTTAGAAGTAACTTACGCGCAAAACAATCCACATTTTGATCCTAGTGGGTGGCAGTACATCTAACAGAATGAAGCGTAAGTTGTTTTATTAAATTTGTCTTACAAGCTAACAAGAACTGTACTCTTTGTTGGCTATTAAGCGGGAACGACACTCCACCTTGTCGCACATATAAACCCCTAAACATTATGCTAAAAAACATTCGAAATGAATTGCTTCATGGTAACTGTTGATAACTCTCAAGCATTAATGTATGTTTCAAAATAAAACTAACATTTAATAGCTCTGCTTTATAAATGATTTCAAGCCTCGTGTTTACTAGGACGAATTCTGACTAAAGTGATTATGCCCACCTCGAAACAACTAGTTTTGTGGGGTGACCCCCGACATTTAAAGGAAGCCCATTACACACGCTCAATGAAACCCGAAGTCACAGAAATGAAAAGGAACACACAACCTATTCAGCGGATCTGAAATTATTGTTATAAGAAACAGGTATACACCAGGCCTGTTATACAAAAAATAATCACATGGTATCGTTCAATCCTCTGAATCCTCTGAAAGTCTCAGGAATTGTTTTTTTTTTTTTAATTTTTATTTTCAAGCTTGCAGAGGATTTCTTTTTAATTTTTATTTATGGTACTTGACGGTCCTATTTATTGCACGGACCTTACGCCCCTTCGTAATTTTACCAGGCAAGTTTCTGGGAAGTGACCCGGCCGTTCTTCGTTCCAGTTCATCCGATTGCATTTCTAGGTCGGTCACTTTTTAGTGGGTTAGCTCTATAGTGCTCGGCCACACTAGATAACGCTAGCCCAGGCGAAGTGGTCACGAAACAAGAATGATCATTGTTGAACTGCTAATAGCGGTTCGTGAAACTCTAACTAAAATTCGTTTGCCTTCCCTCCAAGCCGCTTGAATTCGATGCCCACAGATATCTCTCAGGATTAAGAGGAGGATTGCGATACGAACTACGCCCGGGCCCCGGCCGTCGAGAACTTTGGGAGAGGAAGCAAGCAGCCTCTTCTTCTGTCGAAATATTCTCATCGAGACCGTTTAACTGAACACTGAGTGATGTGATATCTTTTTTTTAAATAAAAACGCTTCTTACCAAAATTATAATCCTTGAACCTCACAAGATAATTCAACTCAGAAAGTACTCACCAAAAGCGGTCTCATGCTTGTGGAAACCTCTGATCCTAGGAGTGCAGCTCCGTCCTGCGAAGCTGCTTTACTTCGAATCAAAGTCGTCTACGCCTTCGGAACGTCCCGAGGCAGGCGTGCTCAAGGAAAATTTCAAGATGCTCGACATGTTTCCTTCATTCCTCACTAACACTTCAGTAACTTTTTTTTCCTTCGCGGTGCGGCTTGGATGCATAATTCAGTAGTAACATCACGGATACACCATTTTTCTCCGGCCAATGTGCCGGGAAAGGGGAAACTACGCGCATTTTGAAATGGGTGGTCTAATTCAAGACAATTCGTTTTACATTTCTGGATACCATCTCCGTTCTGTTTGCATTTTCTACATATTGCAGTGTCTCTACATCAATATTTTATAATTAATTATATATATATATATATATATATATATATATATATATATATATATATATATATTTCTTACCAGCAAAAATTGTAGATGATCCTTGTTTAGCTGCAAAAAATGCACACTCATAAAATCGTATAATAGTTTTTAGATTTTTAATTCAGCATTTATTTACACGAACATACAATGTAAAGGACACTTTTTAATAGATAAAATAGTATTGCTTTTTGTACTACACGTTTCTTTATTTAAACGAGTCCAGCTCTTAGAAAGCGCGAAAGTACTCAGTACACAGTAACGTCAACTTCATCAAGAGATACAGTATGTTAAGCTTCGGCACAGCGTCTTCACACACAATTTGGCGACTCCACTTAAAATTAAATTCAACCTTAAGATGAGCTGAGGCGTGAAAGGCCTGTTAAAAGGGCTACGCATATGGCACACTGAGTACATACTCAAGGTTGGCAATACCTGCATGAATACCGTTCTGAAGCCTTGGTGTCAAAATTTATTCACTTTTTTTATTTCGCTGCCATCACTCCTAGGCTTCTGCGGCTTTCCCTAAGAGCGTTAACGTTTGTTACGCAGTAAACGTACCTGTGTGTATCCCCTAGTCACACTTCATACAAATAAGTAAAAATAATGGTCGTTTCTAATTACGGCTGATCGCAAGGAACAAGATCTTTGAGGCTTGGATATGGATACAGGACTAGACACATTTGCTGCTCTGCTCGGTCTAACCGTACAAACGTTCAGTTCAAGCCCGAACCTGACGTCACCAGATAGCATTTCCACCCTTGAAGAGCAGTGTGTCTTGGATTCCTCCCGGTCCCAGGCCACCAGTCAGGCTCCCAGAGAGACCTCCGAGACCTCCGAGGCCTCCGAGACCCCCGGCGCCACCTGGACCCAGGCCGAACTGGGCGAGACTGTTAGCGTTCAAGACAATAGGAGGCAGGATCTCACCGCCTAGACCCTTCAGGTTATCCGAGTGTGAATTTTGGGCGATGACCTTTTTGGTTTTTAGGATGGGAGTGCCAGCCCCAAATGCTTTAAGGTCCTTGAAGTCCTTCAGGAGGACGAGCTTCTCTGCTGAGTGTCCAGAGCCACCGCCGCCTCCGCTGTGGCTTTTGGTAGACGCTGGCGTGTTGTGGTGTCTCAGCTCCTGAATGAGGTAGGTAGGCCCGGCCGAGACGCTGGTACCACCGCTAGATCCTCCCGTAAGGCTGCTGGCAAGGTTGGTGCCAACGTTGCCTCCACCGAAGGTATGAATGTGGACAGGGGTAACCATGGGCTGGACCGGGTGTTGTGGGAGTGGTATCTGCATCGGTGGATGGAAGGGTCCTGGGGCGTGCAGCGGATAGACATGCAGTGGCGGAAGTCCCGGACCAAAGGGCATAAACGGCGGCATGTGGTGAATGTAAGGGGGTGGCGGCGGGAACATTGGCCCTCTGTGGAAGAGCGGGCCTGCCGGGTAGAGTGGTGGCAGGAGTTGAGGGGGATACATCCTGACCGGACCTGGAGCATGCTGAGGAAGCGGCTTTTGCCCAGGGAGGTTCTTGAAGAGGATCAGCGCTCGGCTCCCAAGCCGCGGCCCCCCACCTGCTGTTAGGCTCAGGGTCGCCGCTAATAGCGTCAGCTTATTCTGAAATGGTAGAAGGCAAGGGTTTCGTTAATACACCCCAAAGCTTTCCAATTAACAGGATGGAATGAGATAAAAAGCAGAAGATATTCTTGAATGTCGTAATATTTCCCTTGATCGAAGGCCAACATGGCACACACTGATTAACAACTCTTCGAATGAACCTTGATTACTTCGTTCATTATACCATATAATTTATTCGTCCAAAAGTTGGGGACCCTAGTCTGCATTTCAATAAGCAATTTATTATTCTGCTTCCACGATATGTAGACGTTTGCGTCACACTGGGTATCTGGGTGTCATATCAACGTTAACTTAAACGCTCAGTGTGTCCTTAGTCAAAGAGTTGTAGCCACTTAATTAGTTGCATTTTGGCTGACCGGAACCGGCAAACGCTTTGTTAAGGTCCTCCGTGTAAGGTATTTATCCTGTCGTTTGGTGTTATTTTATCTTGACTTGATAGCACAATGATATTTCTTTCACCTGCATGTAGTTGCAACTCGCATATTTTCTTCAATTTTAGCTTAAATTAACTATGGGGTGTTTCTCCAGCAGATCGCTATATTTGTTGGTGTTGTAATTTTTGTTTTTAAACTTTTGAGGTGCCTTGTGATCATCAAAATATGTTTAAGCTTGATTCTAAGAAATGGTAAACTTTAAACGACCGCACACAAAACAAACAAAACATAACCTTTTCAGAAGTTTTACCGTGCAATATCAGTTTCGCAAAGAGACTTAGCTAGACTTAGCTTCAGGTCTCTTAGCAAACAGGTTAGTGAAGTCTTGTAGCGAAGCCTAGGCTGCCACGTTGTGGCTTCCCAGTAGGTTTCTTTTCGAGTTCTGTCTATCACCGTTTAGTAAACACACCCGATTACTTGGATATAGAAGAAAACAGGAATAGGAAAATGGTGGACGCCATTTTCCAGTTGATGCCCCCTTAATTGTTTTTCGCGCTTACCAAGTACAGTCGTCACTAACAAGAGCTATCATCCAGACGCCATTTTAGTTTCTTTTACTTTTGTCCTCCCCAAGCTTAGATGGAACGGTAAGAACGGTGGTAGGTAATTATAGTTCATAAGCCATACAAATGACGCTCGAGATTATTGGCTACCAAAGAAGAACTCAAATATCATAGGCATTTCTGAGTGCGCCCCTCTCAAAAATGCATTCCCCGGAGCACATTTCAAATCTGGGTGCAAACTTCACCTTCATAAACCAAAATTGTTGAGCGTGAATATGCGCTTGTGAATTCGTTCAAATGACTGCTGAGTTGTAGGGTGTGGTCAGCCCGGCCAAAACAGTCAACTATCAAATATATATATATATATATATATATATATATATATATATATATATATATATATATATATATATATATATATAAGAACTCTGTTTCCACTCTCCATGCGCACTAACAAAAGTTTACTTCCAGTTGCAATGACAACCTAACTGTTTCCATAAATCCCAGTATAAGGATCTCTTCGAAAGTATCTACATGATTGTAATCCAGTATACTATTTGCTTGAGTAGCTATTTACATGTAGAAACTAATCACGCCCTATGTGATATCATGGTAAAGTACCATGACAACGCACCGTATCTTATTCCGCATTGGAAACGAGTCCCTCTACATTTTTCATAACGTTAGCGCCTAAGCTGAAACAATTCACATATGTTGATGCAGCATCGGGCAAACGCAGGGATGCGTCAATATTCAGATGATAAAGTCCCACGGTTTTAGTAACACAGAAAAGGCCAAGGCGAGTACCGTTCTACAAGTACAGATCTACAATCGCAGCTACTAAACCACAACGTGCTTGAGAAGGCAAAAATGCTCAAATGACTAAGGTTCACCGAGACGACATGAAAAGCAAAGAAACTAGATAAGTTGAATATAAGAGTTGTGAACAAAACTGCTCGCGCCATTATTTTGCGTAAAAATGCGATTTTTTCAGCAATGCTAACGTCATTACTACACTATTCATTTCCCGCTCTTATGGATACCAAATATCCACGAATCTATATGAAGTAAATTATGCACGTATAAGAATCGACGAGCCAGAACCAGCATAATGGACGCCTTATGTGGTCACATTTACAACGTCCATATAGCTTGTCCTCGTGCTCAAACAAACATCACGTCCCACCACCGCGAGGTTGCCCTGTCCTCAGCTATACATGACCAAAATAACTCAATTCATAACAGAACGCACACGTAGAAAGAACAGAGTTGACAGTACAACGAATCTTTTTCACACTGAAAATTCCCTCCATGCCAGCGCCTAGACATATGTCAACTGTAAAGGCACTGGCATTTTGGAAATGCTGTTAACACCGCAACACTTCACGACGGGTACCAGTTGCGACCTGAGAGTGGATAATATACAACTACAAACCATGGCTTGACCCCGCCCTCCAAACACTGCATTGTTGAGGTGACGTTACAGGCCAATTTCCACTCTGACATTGACAATAACCGTGCGTATTCATCTAAAACCGCGAAAGCAAACGGATTTCACTCACCAGTGTATGCATCGTGTTCCCCGTGCTATCCCCTGCTGATCCCTCGAGTCAAAGTGATGCGCGATCAGAGCATCTTCCATCTTTTTATACCTCGCATCCTCTCTCTGGTCCGAAGAGCGAAAGAAAAGACAAAGTGTCCGACTTCGTTACTCAATTTCCTCCTCCTTGCTCTGTGTCTTTGGTGGCTTTTTGTTTGCTTTCTTCTTATCCCTGCTGGTTCGCGGTGGCCGCCACCTCGATCTTTTTCGGTTCAAGTTCGACGTACTTTAGCAACTACCGCGAGACGTGTCAGGAATGTTGCCAGACTCTCTCGCCAGTTTGGGCCTCCCCTCGTTGGGCATCTTTCTTCTTGGCCTCCTCGCCCTCACTTTGCTCTACTGTCCGCCGCTGGTTCGGGGTGGATCGGCGAGCCTTAATCGCGGGACGCTCCAGATACCCTTCCACTTCGTCCCTCCGGTAAAAGGAGTGCCCCTCCTCTGCACGTCTCTCGCTTCGGCGCAACTCGTCGACTCTCGGTTTTTGACCGATTCCAGGACTAGATAGCCAACCACTGCAGGCGGTACGAGGCAGCGGCGTCAGCACTTGCGCATCTTCCAGCTAGGCCATGCAGACAAGCCCAAGGCGCTCCGACCTGCATCTTCTCGGCAAAAATCTCGTTTAACTCATTTTTTTTTTCTCCCTCGCCTGTTCCTCCGTTTTGCAGACTGCCTCTCGATTCCCTGGGCTGGGAGTGAAGTTCTCAAGCCGGCGCTGCCGTGCGCCAAGGCACGGTAGTGAGTTAAGCCATGCCTGCTTTTCACCGAGTTAGTCTCGCAGCCCGTCGACAAGGCGGTCTACGAGACTAACGCGATTCTGGCGTTCTGTTGGTATTCAATCGCTGTCCCGAAGCTGGATGGCTAATTGCGGCGCCTCCTCTCTCGGCGGTCGTCTCTTTTGGCTCGGCGTTCGACTCGGCGCGTAATGATAAGATAACGGAGTGAGCCCCTCCCCTTTTACACCAGATCTTCGACGCAGGGAAAGTGTGTCAGTGGAGCTTTGGCATTGTATCGACTGTAATATCGAGACGCTTCGCCATTCGTAATTCAAACTGGTCTCTATCTGGAGGCAGAATACTTTCGTGTGCGTGTTTTGTTTTCGTTTAACAACGCGGACAGAAGGAAAAGTTCGGTCTCCCATGGCTGTCAGCTTGCTGCTCCATTTAGCACCCGGCCTAGACTTTTTCGCAATGGCCCAAGCAGAGGATGAGTTCCGCGGAATGATAGCGAAGGCGTGCAGTTATGTAAGACTCCGTGAGAGTTCGTTTTTGGCGGCATCCCGGATTTTATGGTGATCTCGTGGAGAACGGTATTGGAATGCCTTCTCGAGGTCATCGACTGGGACTTAGACGTCTGATAAGCTGCACCAGGTCGCAAGATTTTTCTTCGTCTTCTTTCTCATTTCATACCCCTTCAGTGTTAACAGACTTAGCCGACTACCGTGATCTTATTGAGAAAAACACACATTATAATTTTAATGGTTGATGTGCCCTACTTTATTCTTGCAAAATCAATGATATCTCGGAAGCCGGAAGATCCTCCGCTTTTGACAATGGACGCATTGTTGTCACTTTACAAACGCTACAATAATTTTTCGTACCTTATCTCGCGCTTCACCTAGGCTTCTTTTAAACAATTTCTTCAGTCATCGGGAAATACGACCAATTTTATAAAGGCAGGGTGTGTAATTCTTGATAGAGGATAAAGTGAGCTAAAGCATAAGAAGGAAAGAACACTCATGTTGCTGTCATATCAGCGTAAGAATCTGCAACGGTGTGTATGCGGAAGGGACCAAATAAAGAAAAAAAATGCGGAAGGGACGAAAGCAGAAGACACACACCTCCCCACGCTGTCAAATTAGGAGCGCATGGCGAATCGAAGGGTAAAGGCGTTCCGCCAAGCTTGATTTCTGACGTCCTCTTTGCTTGTAAGCCGTCAGTAAATATATCCGTGATTTTGAAAAGACATACGAGGTGCTGTATTTTATTCTGATGCGCCTGCGTCCTTGAGAGATATCAAGAGGGAACTACCATAGGAAAGTAATTAAAACAAAGGGGAAAAGACGGACACACAGAGGATACGGCCTGTAGCACCTCTATATTAGCGGTCAACTTTAGAAATAGCTTGGACATTCTGTCACCCCATTTGTTAGTAGGACCTGAATGTCTACGACATGTCACACATCGCCCAATGCACCATGACGCAGATCTATTAGACGAACGGAGACAACACCAGCCGATTGTATAGGCACCACACATTTTCTTATGTGTCATTGTGGTAATTATAACTGCATAATGTATGCTATTCATATTTTTTAAATTGACTGAATAAATTGCGACAAATATTTTTATGTTTAATAAATAAAAGGTAAAGAATCTAAAAAAATACTATCACTTCTTCGATAAATAAAAACTCAATAAATTACGAAATACTGTAACTACGGAAACAAAAGCGAGAGTGGTTTGTTTCACGTTGTTTGATGAAAATATGAACTCCCAAACTATAAAATATTTGTAGAGAAACATTCTCTCTGCTTAGTTCTCTGGCTGTAGTTCATCCTTCATCGCTCTCTTTTTTTTTTTTTTTCTTCTTTTTTTTTTTGGTTTTGAGGTGTGCAAGGGTCG